CATACAATGTTTATAAACCTCAAGCTCTCCATCTATACAATGAACAACAATCATACCTACATCGAAGGGACTGAGAACCAACCCATGTAAAGCAGTACCCAGCACACAGTAAGCACTCATTGAATGCTAGCATGGTGTTATTCTCAGGTAGTATCATCCCCATTTTACTGATGAGGTCATTAGACTTGAAGAAGTTAAGTGATACTTACTTGAAGTGGTACAGATCTAAGTAGAAAATCTGAAACTGGAACCCAGTCTTCTAACATCATATATAGTACTCTTTCTGCTATGACTCCATGATTCGTTGTTTAAAAGGAAAACTTTTATGAGACCATTAATGTAGTATGATCGAGTTTAACATAACCCAGAAAGAAGTGGCATCTCTGGTGCCAGAAACCCAAATGATACTTACACGGATCCTTCATTTCACTGACAGTGTCTGGACTAGACTCAGAAGGAAGGGGGATGATCATCTTAGTAAATACACTGAGAAAACCTCACAGGATTTCAGTCCTCTGGGCCCCCAGCCCCCTCAAGTGTTGTTTGGGACCAAGACTCGTCCAATATCACTTCCCCAATGAGTCATCATCATTAATATCACTAACCATTGTTGTGTTCCAGGAGCTCAGGAAAGAAAATTCTCTGAGCTTCACGTTGGAATTGGCTCCATCTCATAATAAATACTTTCCAAACTCATCAAGAGAGGTTATAGAAGAGTTAATGTCCCCAAAGAACTTCATTTATTTTACAGATTTATGAAATATGTCCTCTTGCTAAGGCCTCCTATGCAATTCTTTTTTCAGTAAAGGTGACACAGAGTTTCTCCCAAAATAAAAGAGACTCTTCCAGATGCTTAAATTGAGGGTCATGAGTCATCCTGGCTGCCCAGTATCACTGAGGACACAGCTCTAGGAATTTGTGTAACTTCTTAACATAAAAGCTCTAATAGCATTTAGGCACTCTCCCTTAATATGCTTGCCAAAAGAGTGTGGGGTGACAGTCTTTACCACTCCCACAACAGCTCCAGGTCAGTAAAGCTTAGCGCCATCTTTCCTGACCAATAGTTTTTACAACTAACCTTTGAGGTAGGCCAGGATTTGTCAGTAAACAAGCACTCATTGCGGGCAAGCACTGTGCTAGGCATTGGGAAATTCCACGTCAACAAGCACCTCCATGTCCCTGTGAGGGAGAAGTTATTTTTAGGCTGCATTGTTTTATTTAATGAAGATGTAAGCAAAGCACTGAGGGAGCAGACTGGAGAACATATTCTCTTGGAGGGTATTACCAGAGGCTTTACTGAGGAGGTGACATTCAGGCTGGGTTGTTTAGGAAGATTTCTGGGAAAAGGGGCATAAAACATTCGTGATAGGAGAAACTGCACAGAAAGGGTATGGAGGAGTGAAAGAGCATGGGGCTGGGAATGTGGAGGGGGTGGGAACAGCATCCTAATATGGGGAAACCTGGCAGGACAGTAGCAAGATGAGGCTAGTGAGAACCGACTTGTGATGAGCTCTGTATGCTCTACTGAGTTTAGACATTATCCTCATGCTTTCCGAAAACATGGCCCTTTTAGCAATAATAACACAGTGACTGATAAGAATCAGCTTATTGATAACCTATGTCTGTAGCCATTGCCCATCGCCCACAGCTGTTCACCATAGGGACACTTCCACTGGGTCTCTCCCTCCCTGGAAGGATGCTCTTCACACCCTGCCCACCCCATACACAGCCAATATATACAACCTTCAAACCCCCCTCCACTCAAGGCTGCAGCTCTCCACCTTTACTGTTCCAATCTAGGGGTCACTACCCTCCCAACAGAGACCTATAGCTCCACCCTCATCCCACGTCACTGCAGTACAGCTTCTCTGCTCTACGGCAGAGTCACCAGCATAGGACAAAGAGAGACGTGTTCCTGGTCTCCCAAATTGGAACCTGGAGCATCAATATCCTCCTATTCATTTATTTCTCAGTCTTGATACTTATACCACTCACTTTCTTTTTTTTGTCTTCTCTGAAATTTTCTACTGTCTTGACTCTGGGCACTGCTCTCTTCTGGCTATGGTCCAACAGTCTCTGGCTGCCCCCTTTAGAACCTCTTCATCCACTCTTACAGACTTGCTTCTCACCTGCTGTATCTCCTGCCTAGACCGCTCCCGAGTGCTTCCCTCATCTCCAACCTTCTGAGCAGGATAATGCCAAACATACATCTGTAACTGAGCTCCTTCTTCCCCCAGGTCTGTGCCTCCTCCTCACTTCCTTTTCTTTTTTCTTTTTCTTTCCTTTTTGGGAGAGGAACAGTAAATTATGATCTCTTTCTATTCATCTCTGGTGTTATCACCAAATTCACTCTGTTTTCAGGTCCTATCAAATTTACCTCATTAATATCCCTAATCCATCTTCTCTTCTCCTTCCCCATCTACCCTACCCTTGTGCCTTTTGGATATTCCCCGATATGACTCCAACAGCCTCCCAGTCCTTCTCCCTATCCTGTGCTGGTGGCTTCTCCCACCCAGTGTTAACAGAGTGACCAAGTGAAGTTTTAAAGTTCAAATATGATCATCTCATTCCCATACTCGAAGTCTCCTCTCCAAGTGGGGCAAACAAACCTGTATTTGTCAAGCCCTATGGTCCAGCTCTTGCTTACATGATAATCAACCTTTCCACCTGTCCTTAATAGGCTAACATCTTTTAAATCTCCATGCTGATTCCCCTCCCCATACCCAAAGAAACTCCCCACTTTCACTCCCTTCCCTGACTCCATCCTCCTCTCCTGGCAAAACAAAATGAGCTCAGATGTCCTCTGAGAGTACTGCCCTGACCCCCCGCACCTTCAGCCTACTGTCCTCTCTACTCACACAACACACTATTCTATCTTCCACTACAGCACTTAGACTAAGAAATTGGCAGTTATTTCCTGATTCAACCGTGATGTCTTTACCATCAGAACTGTGTTATCTCTGTATTCCCACCAAGAAAGCACTCAATACATTTTTGAATGAATAAGAAACTGCATATATCCCCAGAAACTTGGTGATCAAGTTCTTTTATACTAGTTTTCAGCTGCATATGGGTTAAGCATATTCTGTGGGCTGGCTGGAAATCTAACTACCATTTAAAAATTTGTTTCTATGGGAAAATGCATTGAGAATTCCAAAAGAAAGACTTATGAACAGAGTTTGGAACAAAACCCATTGGTAAACTGAAGATTGACTATCTCTTCGCATTTCTGCTAGCTACAAAATTGGTCTACCATCTTTCCCCTCTTGGTTAGTGAAGTATTAGAATAAATACATAGAAAAGATAATAAAAATATAAATAAATAATAGAGAAATAAATAAAATAGAGAACATAATATAACAAAACAACAGAGAAAAATAAATAAATAGAGAACATAAATGCCTCTAACACCAAGTATTCTTTGATTACCATTATAGGTATACTCATGAGCTGGATACATTGGCATGGACCATAGGCGCCCTTCCTAGGTAGTTAGTTAGACACTTCTTTTGTTTTCTGGCCCTGTATTCATGTGATCCTATTCAGGAAAACCTGACGTTTGGAAATCCAAACTTAGAAATCAGATACATTCAGGGGTTATGACTCAGGTTACAAAATAGTTTTTCACTTTAGTAATTTAAGAGTGACTCACTGTGTTCATTAAAGAGCAATAAAAAATTAACATGGAACTCTGAAAAGAAAGAGTTTAAAAACAGAATCAAGGCTGGTTATATTTGTAGTCATGAGCATTTCTTTTTGAAATGTCATAATTTACCCCTCCCCACTTGGGATTTATTCTTGTGGCATTACAACTCTCCCTCTACCAAGAAGCACAACAAAAGACCATTTGAGTAGGAAGCAGATGTGTATCTTCTGGAGCTTAACACCCTGGCTCAAATCTGACGGTGAAAATTTACAGCCCTTAAAATATACTGTACTGTGGTGGCTGTAACTGGGAGGCCTCCTCCCCAGCTGAGGGAGTAGAATTGCTAAAATGTTAGTGGCCAAAGGGGGCTGGTTGGGGGAGGAAGGAGACTGAGTCTTCACTGGGAGGAAATGAACCCAGAGATTATCAGTGGATGATATAATCAAAAACTCATATACCAGTATCCAAGTTTTATTACGCTGCTGAGGAAAACAGCTCATTTATATTGGATTTCCTGTCCTTTTTTTCTTAATAAGGGGAATCACATATCTATGAGTCATCATGATTATTATAGATTTGACGGGATATTTCACCATGATAATGCATATGACTTTTTTTTAAGGGATTATACACTACAATAATTGCATGCCTCTTAATTTATTGACAGAATAGTAAAAAGATGAGTTGATATATTTTTCTCATTTTTCTTGTTTCTTGAAACAGCTTTGACTATTTCCAGTAGGCACATATCTCTGTTTAATAGTAACATACAAAAATTAATAAACAGGGAAAAGGCTCCATGGGAATAGGCCATAATAAAGACAAATGGAATCCATATTTCAAAAGTTGGCAAGAGCTAACAGATATGCTCTCATTTTTTTTATTTGTGTAATAAAATGTTCTGTATTCAGAGTCATTTCTTTCCTTGTTATTTCTCTTGTCTTGAGTAGGAGCCATAAATGCTTCAACAAACAGAAAGTAGATTGAATGTTCGGTTAGTGTTGCTGAAGTCTTTTTATGAAGTACTACTTAATGTGGATATGGCATAATATTGTTTCAATGGGAAAGTTCAATTTGTGCTCTACAAAGACCACTTACACAAATATTCTTTGGAATATTACAACCATCAATTAGTCCTTACTGAGTATCCAGTACTAAGGAGCCATACTGAAAACAATAAAAGGGTGGAATGAGCAATACAAAGTTGGACCTATTTTTCAAAGGGCAGAAGCATAATTATGAGACAAAGTAAAGGACTGAGCATTTTCAAAACTGTATCACCAAAGCAAAATTAAAATCTGACTTGGACTTTGGGATAGTATGTAAATAGCCCTCCTCCATCAATTGGCCTCACATCCCTTGCAAACAAATCTACAGGTTTTCTCCAACCTAACATTATTGTGGAGTGTGATAACTAAGTCCAACTTCTGAGAAAGAACAGACTTTGGAAAGTATCTTTGAATAGAAGATCTTCTGGACAGCAGACTTAGTAACACAGACATTAACAATGCACTCTGGTCTACACCCAAAGAAGGCCATATTATCTGTTATCAGTAGAGCCTCTGCTTGGATGGGTTTTTCAGGAAATGGGATAGTCTACCAGGGTCAACCACACTCCCCACCTGGCTTGGCCGGGGACCATCTCCTATGCTTTGTCTAGGGAGCTGGCCAGCGCTGACTGCTGAAGAAACTTACCCAGTAAATACAGTGAGGCTGAAAAAACTTACACCTGAGGAGGACACTGAACCACTGTCCTCCTCAAATCTGTGGTCTAACTTACTGCTAATCAGCCACAAGGAGGTCATATGGTCAAAATTTCGAGACAGAGGAAACATGATACCAAATGAAATAAAAAGAAGTCACTATCCAAGAGAACATGTAGAGACAGTCAATCCATGTGACATATGTAAAAAGATAACTCTACAAACTAATTGAATATGATGAAATCCAGATCAGGTCAAATAAATTTTTCCTGGTTAAGTCCCAACTCTTACATCAGAAGGTCTATCCTCAAACTGAAAGATGTTATCAGCGAACCAGTAGAGAAAAATGATCAACAGAACAGATTACTCCATTTGGGTTCTGTGTGCATGCTATTGTCAAAACTAATCAATTGCCTAAGTAAAATGCACTGGCTTCCTCACAGTTGCTAATACTCAGCATGAAACAATAACTTAGATTTCACAAGGTTAAGAGAATTTCACCTAATAAAACTTTCTTGGGAAACTGAATGAGTACCACCATAAACCAGTACCCACAATAAAGACTTCATCCATATATATATGATTCTTCATAATATTATACAAAAATTGGTCCAATACCTGGGTCCAAGTTCATCATGGGCTCTTCCAAAACTGATTCCCATGACATGTTAGTATTTACACTACATGTGCATTTTGTGTAGTCCCTATTCCTCTGGAGTGATGCCTTGACTAGGGGTGCAGTGGATGCAAGTGTATCCTATAGAAAAATGCTTCAGCCCCTGCCTTGCCCTAATGAGCACAATTAACCACAAACTTAACATTTGAATTATTAATGCTCCCTAATAGGGTGGATAAAGTGTCTCTGGAGCAAAGCTGTTTGGAGTTCTGGTAAAGCTCATGCCAAATTTAATTTAAAAGTTCATTGTGAAGAGAGACAATGCTGGCATTGTGTTCCATTGATTTAAAACAAGTCTGTCCTAAGGATTTTCTTCATCCTTATCTGCAGTAATAGAATATGAAAGAGAGAGAGGGGGGAAATATCAAGTGCTGGAAAATATCTTTCTCAGAAACTATAGCAGACGGGTCACAACATTTTTAAACAATGATAGTAACATTTATTATATCAAAGCCATTTTATGTTTTATTTGGAACTCTGGCGCCTTTTTTTTTTTAAGTTCCCATAACATGACAGTAATTATAGCCTTCAAGATGTTCCCTAGAAGATAGCAGTCCAAAATCCAGATGCTGCTGCCTCGTTGTCCCATCGCTGGAGCTCAGAGTGTGCACATTACATCATGGTGTAGTTTATTTTAAAAGTGCTTTAAGAATGTAATGATAGTAATTGTAGACAGGGAAAATTAATGGGGAGCATTGCCGGTCTGCAAATTCCATTTATAAAACACTCCCGCTGCTCAAAAAGAGAGTGCTTTCTTGTTAACAGAGGCTTCAAAATACAATTTGGAGGATGTATTAAATAAACTCTGTGCTAAAGTCATTTTCAGCTGGGCCCTGTGTGTACACATTTCCCTCTCACTTCACCACTAGCCCACCACACGACTTTCCCTGAGAGGATACAAGATTCTGCAGAGAAGCACAGGGTGCATGTTCCCATGCAAAAACTACCATGGCTGTGGGGCAAGGACAGGTTAAGTGGTAGAGCTGGTCTTGGGCCAATGAACACATACACAGTGTGTAAAACAAAGAGAGAGCCGAGAAGGTCCACGTACGCCTATGCTCATACAACCAGCCACAGTCCTTTCATAACATACTATTCCCGGATTTTAGGATTTTGAAGGGTTCCATATTTCATTGATAGTAGGTGATGGACATCCAAGCCAAAAGGATGCTCTTCCCTCTAGCTTTATGGCATGCCAAGATGTCTCTACTCAACAATCCTTTTGTGTTCCTTAAATCTATCATCTTCCTTCCCATACCTAACTTTAGCAAAAATAAAATAACCTCCTCAAGATTACTTTTCAGGTCCTGTTCATGATGGAATCAGCTGGAAATGGCAACCAGTTTTGGGGCCGGCCCCATGGCATAGTGGTTAAGTTTGGCACACTCGCTTCAGTGGCCCGAGTTCACGGGTTTGGATCCTGGGTGTGGACCTACACCACTCCTCAGCCATGCTGTGGTGGTGACCCACATACAAAATAGAGGAAGATTGGCACAGATGTTAGCTAAGGGCTAATCTTCCTCAAACAAACAAAAAAAAGAGGCAACAAGTTTTCTCCTGTGAAGTTGCTGCCAAGGAAATTCCAGTTGTTTCTGATGTCTCAAGAGAGAGCATAAAGAATAGACCAAAATTTGTAAGCCTTCCCTTCATTCAAATTCAACAAAACAGAAAAATGGGAGGAAATAAAGATTCTCCTAGCATCCAGAAATTAGTTTTAAGAGTGTTTTATGCCAAGCTGATGAACCAGTATTTGTACCCAGAGAATGGCTACCCGGCCCATTATGTCATAGCATCACATCTCCTACACAGGAAGGGGGTCTCCACCTCTACCCCAACCACACTGGACAGATGAGTAGCTGGAACTGATTAGTGCTGGGGAAGGGGAGTCTGAGATAAATGCATGTCTTCTTCAAACAAATATAAACTCATTCACTCACCTGCAATAACCACTGGTAACAACAATAATTTGGGAAAAGGAGAAATCAAGAAGTACATGCGTGTGTACGTTGGGGTGTCAGTCAGAAAAGAAAATTTATAGTATGCTTGGTAGAAGGAAAAGAATGAACACACTGTTCACTCCTGGGCCATTGGCTATATATTCCCACCTTATTGCATATTTTGATACCACTACCCTATATTTTAGAGCCCTTTAAGCTTAATTCAAACACATGCATATCTGGGACTTCATTTATTGACAACCCTATGAGGTATGTAGCACCAGCATCGTAAGCCCCACATTGCAGATGAGAATATCAAGCACAGAGAAGTTGAATACATCGTCCAATGTCTTGGTAGAAAATTCAAGACTGGAGTCCCCAGGTAGGTTAGTGGACCTACAGATGGAGGTTAGTAGCCTCCATCTGTAAGCATCAACTCTCTTTTAATGCATCTTACACCAATTTTAAAAATAACAGGAGGAAGGTAGGGAAAGTGAAACCAGAATGAGGACTAATGCAATTGGACACAATAGTGCCTACTATGTACCAGTCACTTTTTAACAAGCGTTACAGTTGTTATCTCATCTACTCTCTACAACAATCCTATAAGGCAGGTATTAGCACCGTTTTATAGATCAAGAAACTGGAGATAGAAAGATAATGCTGGTAGCATAATGGCTAATAGCCACATAACACTTCATGTGCTCCAGGCACTGTTCTAAGCCCCTTCCATCTGATAGATACAGTCTTCATCGTAACCCTATGGAAGTAGAAACTATTATTATAATTTTCTCCATTTTATAGGTGAGGAAAATGAGGCACAAAGATGTTAAGTACCTTGTCCAAGGTCACACAGCTAATAAATGACACAGCCAGATTCAAACCCAAGCAGTCTAGCAACACAGTGCCTGCTCTTAACAGCCATTCTACCCCAGCTCCAGGAGACAAGACCAGGAGCTGTCTGGGAACAGAACTCTTTCCAACACAGCATAAATGCCAAGGATACATTCCCCAAGCAAGGAAAATGGAGTCTTCAGCAACTGTCTCATTCAAAACATTCTAGTACCCCAAGGTTTTCTTCCTTAACCTGCACCAATGCAGAACTCCCGCACACACCCAGCCCTTCACCCTTCCAACTCCAGACCACTATTCCTGTCTATGCCGTGTTCACCCTACCCATGGGAAATTTGTGCTCTCTCTCTGACCTCAAAAAAGCAGCCAGGCTGAGCTAATGAACTAATCTGTATTAATCGGTGTTGGTAGAGGAAGATACGAAAACTAACAGTAGTTCATCCATCTATTAGTACTAGGAGCTGGGTGTACAGTAATAAGCCAACCTATTATGTGTCACACACTCCAATAGGGCTAAGCACGCATTCGCTCATCAGAAATTTACATGAGCCATCTCATTCCCTCTTTATAGCAACTCTGAGAAGTAGGACTTCTTATATTCATTTAACATATAAGAAAGCTGCGGTCCCTGTTGGGTAGGTAAATTACCCAAAATATTAAAGCTAATACCTTGCTGAGGTAGAGTCAAACACTGGCTAAACTAATGAGTTAATAAATAGATGAATGAATCCAAAGCCTCTACCTTCCCCCACTACACATTTTCCTTCACTCATTCAACAAATAATTTTTGAGCATGTTCTATTTGCCAGGCCTTCCTAGGCACTGGGGATACCGTGGGTCCCTATACCACATTTTGGTGGGCAGAGGCAAAGAATAAATAAATAAGCTTCAGGCCAAAAAGAAAATTATCAGGTGGTGATAATTACCACGTGGAGAAGTAAAATAAGGTGTCAGAGACTGGTAGCTATTTCACATTAGGGTGGGAGATTCAGGGAAGGAACTGACAATTAAGCTAGATGAATGCTGCTAGAAGGAACCAGCTGTGTCAGGTTCCCGGGAAAGCACTTGAAGCCGTTGGAAGAGCTGTACAAAGTCCCTAAGAAGGACATGAGCTTTGACCAAAAGAAAGTTGGTGACCAAGGGAACCCAGAGGGGGTGCAGGTCCCCCTGGGTGTGGTAAACCAGGGTAGGAAGTCCAGAGTTTGCTCTAAGGGCAGTAGGGAGCCCTCAGAAGCTTTTAATCAGGGGAGTGTCATGACCTGACTTCTTTTTTAAAGTCTTCTCTCTGCTATACCATCTGCTCTTCAGGGCCCCATGTCTTTCTCCTCCCACTTGCTTCTCCCAATCCAAACCCACCTGGACCCTATTC